TCTCCAATTAATCCCAGAAAAGATGGAAAGTGGCACTGTGGCTTAAAAGAAGCCTAGGGGCAGTACTCAGGCCCAGAGTTCAAGCCCTAGGACCAGAAGGGAGAGGAGAGGAGAGGAGGGGGAGGGGGAGAGGGAGGGGGAAGGGAAAGGGAGAGAAAAAGAAAGAGAGAGAGAGAGAAGAAGGGGGGGGGGGAAGACAACCTTCCCAGAGTCCAGAAATCAGTTTACCAACCCCTTAGTTCAAACCAGGAACCACCAGAGGTGTTGAGAGGATTAAAAACCCCCAGGGTTCATTCTATCTTTACCTCCCACATCCTGAAGGACAAACAGGAAATGTTTCTCTCTTCTCCATTTCTCCCTACTTTAATTTTGTTATACTAAAACAAATCAGCCAGGCATTGGTGGCTCATGCCTGTAATCCTACTCAGGAGGCTGAGATCTGAGGATCATGGTTCAAAGCTAGTCCAGGCAGGAAAGTCCATGAAACTCTTATCTCCAATAAAACCGGAAATGGCGCTGTAGCTCAAGTGGTAGAGTGCTCGTCTTGAGCTGAAGAGCTGAAGGGCAGTGCTGGGCCCAGAGTTCAAGCCCCATGAGCAACAAAAAATTAATAAATAAAAATAAATAAATAAATAAATGAAACAAATTGCTAAAACTTTCAAATGTGTGTAAGAACATACACAAGAATCACCTAGGTCTGAGTTCAAGGATAACAGAACAAGATCTCATTTTAATAAACTGGAAAAAAAATAATCCTAAAACACTGAAAGGTTCTGGATAACTTGTTGAACACAGGCTACACCTGGTCAGGGAAGAAAGGTCTCACACCATGTGTCAAAATGCATAACCCAGGGCTGAATGCAGTACACCTATTGAAGGCTGCTGAGCAACCCAGGCTTACCCACACCCATCTCAGGAGCAGCAGGCCACCTATTCTCCCGTGCACCTCCTAACACAGACTGCAGGAGCAGATGAAACTGCATCCTGGCTAGTGTAGGTCCTGTAAGAAGTCATCAAGAAGCAGATCTGGTGACATTTGACATTTGTAGACCCAGAACAATGCGCACAGACTTGGAGAGCCAGAAAAAGACCTTTGTAGTGATAAACAGGCTCTCAAATCAAACTGACTAGCTTTTTGCTGTGTCCCCAAGCCTCTCTAACACTGTTTCATAATTGATAACACTCTTCCCAACTGGAGACCAGAGCTTGCTTCTTAAAATATTTGATGAAGGCAACCAATGTGTAATGCTTTATGGAGATTACAAGCTATAGTAATGACACTTTGTGGAGTTGAGCAAAAATAAGTAAGTATTCTAGAGCAGCACTGTCCAACGAATTTCTAGCATGATGAAAATGTTCTTGATCTGCACTGCTCTGAACAGTAGCCCAAACACATGCCTCCTTGTAAGCCCCAGGAACATAATCTGAACTCTCTAATGGTTACCAACTCTCCTCCTATGAGCTAACTAGGTTCAATAGGCCTGCCTAGACCCCCCTCCACTGCCCACTCTCTAAGCACATATAACCTAAAATGCCCACATAATCAAGACATGTTGACCCAGGCAAAATGGGGATACCAACTTGTCTCCCGTTTCTTTCCAACTTAGACACTAAGTCAGAAGCTAAGGGAGAATAGTACTCTTTTTTTTTTTTTTGGAAGAGCTGAGGATCAAACTCAAGACCTTGCACTTACCAGGCAAGTGCTCTTCCACTGAACTAAATCCCCAACACCAAGAATGGTACTCTTTATAAAATGCAAATCAGCCAGGTGCTGGTGGCTTACACCTATATTCTTAGCTACTCAGGAGGCTGAGATCTGAGGACTGAGGTTCAAAGCCAGCCACCAGTCAAAAATCAGAAGTGGCACTGTGGCTCAAAGTGGTAGAGCCCTAGCCTTGAGCAAAAGAGCTCAAGGACAATGCCCAGGCCTGAGTTCAAGCCCCAGCCATTAAAAACAAAACAAACAAACAAAAACCAAAACACCTCAAATCACTCAAGTGATTGAAATGAAAGAAACTTAAAAGTCAGACTCAGGGATTCCTAAGGCAGGGAGGAAAAAAAAAGACAATGCATAAGCAGCACCTATCAGGCACAGTCCCAAGTCTTACATATAATTAAATGATCTCCATCCTTCCTTCCTTAGGAAGAGAAAGGGAACACTGGAGGCTACAACTATGGCTATGACCAGTCTGGGCCCCAAGCCCAGTATAATCTGGGTTACTAGACAGCCAGACAAATGCTTTAAAACACTGATGCTCAGCAACCTTACACTGAAGGCACATCAACTGCAGCACCTGAGCAGGCTACTTACAACAGGTTCTTAGATCTATCTCTGCTGTCACCCAGCAGCAGACAAGTGTGAATGCATTTTCTGCTGGGATGTGACAGAGTCCAACAAGGGACTAGACTATACCTTGACAAATCCTCCAGGCTAGTCTCACTTACTGGGCAGGACCAGTTACCAGCACAGAAACAATTACCTGCAAGACAATAGTCTACTTAATTCAGAAATAGACAAACTTTAGTGATATATAGGCCTCTTAGATAAAACTCCTCTAACCCAGAGCCTTATTTCAAAAGCTTAAAACTAGTAAGAGCCGGGCGCCTGTGGCTCATGCCTGTAATCCTAGCTACTCAGGAGGCTGAGTGAGATGAGAAGATCCAGGTTTGAAGCAAGCCTGGGCAAAAAAGTCTGAGACTTTTATCTTCAATTAACACCCAGAAAACCCGCAAGTGACACTGTGTCTCAAAGTGGTAGAGTGCTAGCCTTGAGTGAAAAAGTTCAGGGACAGCACCCAGACCCTGAGTTCAAGTCTCATCACCACCACCAACAACAACAAATTGTTAAAGGGTAAAGAAGAAACACTGAAAAAAAAAAAAAAGCTCCCAAGATCACTTGATTCCAAGGTTCAGAAAGTCAAACAATAAGCAGGTGAACCATCTGAATGCCAAGAAAAGAGGAATGAGATAAATATCAGTTCATTCAGCCCTCTTCGTTTCAAAGATGCTCTGCATCTTTAAGAGCTGAGTGGCTGGGTGGTGCTAAGAGCCCAAGCTTTGCTTTCTAAATAGAGTTTTAAAAGTACTAATTTGGAAAAGACTTAGAGATAAACGGACATGTAAGGTATTGTCAGAAGTAATCCTTTTTGGTGAATGGCGTTCCAGTTCCTGACTCGGTAATTGCCACACGGGGAGGTGGAAGGAGTGGGGTTGCAACCCAACTAACAGGCATGGTTGCATCAGGTCCAGCAGCCCAGATTTCACTACAGGAATTAAATTTAAACACCAAGCAGTCTGCACTTCAGTAGGGGAAAAGACAGGCAGTTTAACCTTACTAATTGCCCTGCACATACAACCTACCCCATAGGATTTGAGAGGCCTTGGCCGGCACCTGGGGCGAAGTCCACCGGGTTCGTGTTAACCACAATCCCAGGGGCGGGGAGGAAAGGCTCTCGGTCCCCCTAAGCCACTCCCGGGGCTTGGAAGGTTCCTGCAATGCCCACGGCTTCCCGGAGACCCAGGGTCCCACTATCATCGGCATCTTCCCTCATTCACCCAGGACTTGAAACGCCAGGCAGGAGGCGTCCCCCAGGGCGCAAAATAGCTGAACTCCGGGAAACTCGGCCCTGAGGCGTCGGACCCCAGTTAAGCCTCCCCCCAAGCACATTTTAACCTCTACTAACCCCTGGACGTCCCGGGGTGCGGGACACGTGACCTCTGGCACCCTTAGGGGTGAAATCAGTAGGCAACGGGGGGGGGCTCCAAGGCCCCACCTCTCGAGACGCGCTCCAGGGGGCGCGCTACAAATGCTAATATCCCAGGAGACCCCCGAGTCACGGCCCTGGGGGTCCTAACGGGGTTCTTAGAGTCCCGATCGTTTCCCAGCCCATCCTCCCGGCTCAGCCCGCTGAATTCTCCCCACCGAGTTCGCCGCCCAGAACTCCAAGGGCCGGGACACAAGCTCGGATGTGCCACCGCCACCCGGCCAACCCGGGGACGACTCAGCGGGGACCCGAAGTTAGGGGTGCCTTCCAGAAGCGACCCGTCCAACTCCAATCCCGCAGCCCTACAGGAAAGAGGGTCCGGCGGGCACAGGGTGTCGGGGGAGAGCCCCGGGGCCCTGCCCACAGCCCGCCCCGCCGCCGCCTCTCGGGGACGCAGACTGGGTACACACGACCTTTGAAAAGTAAACGCGAGTGGGGCTGGGCGACCTTGGGTGGGACGCGCTCCGGTCCGCCCCGCCGGCCGCTGCGCGCGCACGGGGGGGAAAAGTTAGGGCGCAGAAGGGGGCACCCCGGGCCTCGCTGCCCTCCTCGTCCCCGCCCCCAGAGGACG